TTTGCCTATGAACGAAGCCACAGCATTGGAAAAGGCTTGAACTTGGCGTCTTGGTGGTTGGGGTTGTGTATCTTTGTAGGTTTAGTGGTGGGTTTCCCTTGGTGAAGATACGGGGTCTCTTGAGTGAAGGTAGGGGGCTTCTTGGTTCAAGATAGGGGGTTTCTTGGGTCAAGATAGGGGGCTTCTTGAGTCAAGTTGTGGGGCTTCTTGATTCAAGATCCTTGGGCTGGGCATCATTACGTTTTCATAAGAGACACCTCGCCCCAGTTTATGGTTGTTGTTATTCATGGGTTTTGGGCTTAGGGTTAAGCGTATTAGGGATTTGGGATTTGGGTTTTTACGGTTGAGTTTGGGTTGAGGAATAACGGGGATTTATGGGGGAAGGTGTTTTTCTGAGGTTTTGGTCTTGGGATTTTGGGAATATGGTTTTACGGGTTGATATTTTGGGTTAAGGAATAACGGGGTTTTGGGGATATGGTTTCGGGATTTTTGGGCTTGGGAATTTGGGCTTGGGATTTCGGGAATATGGTTTCGGGATTTTTTGGCTTGATATTTGGCTACCGGCTTGGCTGACGGGTTACATAGTGGATTGGGGCGAGGTGTCTTGTAAGTGGGTGTGGGGATGAAGAGATTTAGGTGTGTTGACTGATCCGTGTGGCCCGGCGTCTACTCAGTCTACTCAACTTCGAGACCCAAATCTCAATCCAGAGCAAAACACCACCATGATTCGAACATTGCTGGGGGAATAATTTTCAACGCCACCCTGGATGACACGAGGAGCTGGACATGTTCCTAGCAAGAACGACAGAAATCAGAATCAAAGTGCCCCATAGATAATCCTTTGTCGTGGAAAGATCTACTTACGGTGACGCGGCTTCTCAAATGCAGATACATCAGAGAGCTCGGTCTGTGCCCGGAACGGTCCCTCAGTCTGCCAATTCGAACACATCGTAAAGAGTCCTAGGATGTTGCGGGGAAACAGCTCGCACAGATAAACCAACATGAAACTCCTTCACAGTGGTTCCCCGATGCCAGCTCAACCTCGGCGCTTCCGGCGAGCTGCGTTTCGCAGCGCGCGGCGCAGTGAACCGCAGCAGGTGCACGGGGCTTTGCAGAAAAGACATATGCATTGGAAGATGTTCAAAACATATCGAATACAGACAGACAGACCTGTCTGCAGACAGTCATACATGGAGGCTAAGGTACATGCGGGCATATACAAACACATATACATGCAGGCACTTCTCTGTTCTGTCGCGCCAAACTCGCACGAAAAAAATGCTAGAGACCTATGCAGGTATGTGTACATGTAGTGTGTGAATATATATATATATACACAAAAATGTATGTGTGCTTGCTGCTTGAGCATGTATGTTAGCATGTGTCTCATCATATGCGCAGGTATGTGTGATGGTCTTCATACCTACATCTATCCTTTGGCAAGGCAATCAATCAGCAAACTCTGAGTTAATAAGCCCAGTGAATCCGCCCGAAATGCGTATATCTAGGAAGACCGGGTCAGTGCCAGTGCATCTTCAACTCGAGGGCCTCCTTGCAGAAGCTGGGGTAGGTTTGGAATCATGCCCGGTTGAGCGTGTAGGCCCTTCTGACTTCTGATGCCTTAAAGCCAAACCTAGCTGTGGAAATCTTCCATGCGGAGTCCCGAGAAGTGGTTGACAGCTTCCTATTCAGCGTTCAGGTTTGCTTCACAAGCTTCGGCTCTCGAAATTCAGAGTTAGGATGCAGAATGGCGAAGCGATTTTCGGGGCACCCCTTTTTCGCAGGTACACGCTTTCCCCGCGTAATTTCCTTCTTATTCAAGATCCATTCTTGACAGTCTTCTCGATGTCATGTCTGGCACTGTTGTTATGATAATTCTTCTCTTCTTTCTTCTAAATACTATTCCGACAGCTACTGCTACCGCTGATGCTGCTGCTGCCGCCACTCCTACTCCTACTCCTACTCCTCCTCCTACTCCAACTCCTACTCCTACTCCTGCTCCTACTCCTGCTCCTTCTGCTCCTACTACTACTACTACTACTACTACTACTACTACTACTGCTACTGCCACTGCCACTGCCACTGCCACTGCCACTGCCACTGCCACTGCTACTGCTACTGCTACTGCTACTGCTACTGCTACGGCTG